AGAGAGAGAGAGAGAGAGAGAGAGAGAGAGAGAGAGAGAGAGAGAGAGAGAACAATATGAGCCAGAGCCAATTTTTTAATATCAGCAAACACTACTTCTTCACCTCTAGACATAAGTGACAAAACAGAGTGAGAATGAGTTACAGTAAGTCAGGAAAATGAGGAAAAATATAATAAAGAGTGAGGAAAAAAGAGTGCATAAAGGTTTTTGGGAGTTTTTGTCGACTGTACTGTCATTTTGCTGCAAAATGCACTTTTCTTAAACCATTAAAGTTGTTCATTTTTTATGGTAAATTTTATTATAATTTTGCTGTTGCTTATGTTGCTTACAACTGTTGCTAATACAATAATAAATGTATACGTTTATGCATTACTGTTATAATTGACCTCTATTTTACACAATGTGTGGGGTTGCCAGTTGGGCTTATTTTGGGCTTGTTTTCATAGAGCTGGTTGTTTGTTTAGATCTGGCAACACTGGGTCTTCCTGTGTGTGAGTTAACATTTTCTCCCTCTGCTTGAGTGGGTTTTCTCTGGGTACTCCAGTTTCCTCCCACAGACCAAAAGCATTGCAGATGCAACGGTAACTCTGATAGGTGTGCATGAGAGAGTGAAWAGTTGTTTGTTTCTTAGTGGCTGTGATGAACTTGTGACCTGTCCAGGGTGTACTCTGCCTCTTACACAGTAACCAATGGAGGCTCCAGCTCCCAGAAAGAAACAGATGGKAAAGAAGGGGCATRTAACTGTGAAACTGGCCTGAGTCAGAGGGGTAAACAGGTCACATACAGTATATCCTGTTAGACTGAGTGCTACTTGGGTCAACTCAGTCTTTTCACTGGATGGTCCAAACCACTTCCAGCTCAGGTCAGCAGACTGCAGAGAGTGACACCAACCTTAAGAGTTGTTTCCTTCACAAGAACTAAATCAACCATTTTTATATCTCAAAGCTGCAGAATTTCTTTGTGTTACTTGTGTTTTTGTCAAAAAATATATAATACATCTAATAAAATGGCAACACGTGAACCAACACTGYGGTACTATGAGGAAGTTTCTGTGGTTGTTGGCTGATCAGAGAAYCCAGAGAGAGTTAGACCAAATGGACTTAATTTACGAGCTTTGACCAGTGGAGAGAATGTATGAAAATATTATGCTTTGCCACAACCCCTCATTTACAAAGAGTTCAACTATCCCTTTAACTACAAATGAGGTATTTCATGGATTTTCACTGATGCTCCAGTTTCCTGTGAAAAACATTTTCTTCAGTTAGGGAACTACCAACCATTAAACTTCAGCATTTTGCTGCCTTTGCTCATTTCAGCCTGATGCAAGAGTTTAATTTCTTTAAATCAGTTTTRCCATTCTCCGTTCATTAACTCCAGCTGGGAGTTTCTCATGGAATTGCCTCACTGCATAATAAGCAGCTTCCCACATTCCAATGAGCAGGTTTGTTTGACAGCTACACAATTACCTCCTCCACAACAAACACGTGTGCTGCGTGAAACCCCAAACCAGTTTGGTGCCTACTTGGCTCTGCTGATTGTCCTTCTGCTTCTGGGCCTCCAGGCTCCGTCTGCTGCTCCACTCCTTCAGGGAGTCCTGGACTTGGGGCGTCAGACGGCCTGAGAACCGCTGCCCCTGGTCCAGGTTCTGGATTAAATGCAGGCTAGCATACACACTGGTCAGGTAGTAGCCACCTGGAAAAAAAATAAAATAAAAAAAAGATGTAGGAGGGAAAAATAATAAATCACCATGTCTGCAATGCCACTAATAAAAGAACATGATAAGCAGATACAGAAGTGTTTTATTTTTGCTGAAAAAATAAAGCCATTGTATAAAAAGCTGATATATGCTTTCACTCGTAGTTACACTTTTACTCTTAAAAAGAAAGATACAGTATAAACCATAAAGACAAAGTGAGGTTAAACGAAGATCCAAATGCAACAATATTTTATTTCCTTTCTAGAAAAGAAAATTTGAACAAAACAACATGTTTGTTATTTGAATAAGAGACTCTCACTTGATGTTTCCCAGAATACTTGGTAATCATTGGCAATGTGCTTTTCTTTTTCTTCAGTTTTAGGTGTATTAWTTATTATTTCTGTATTCAATTAATGGGAATGTTCAAATGTTCAATATTCGATTATATAATGTAAAAATCTAAAATTAACAGTAAGAGAACAATTGTTGGGTGCACATGCATCGTTACTGTGGATTTCTCTAATCCACACAAGGTCAACATTTTCCACAGAGGCTCAAATATCTACAGGCWCTCACTAATATTAATTAAACATGTTTTAGCAAGTTGCACCTCAAATATTAGCCTTTTTGTATCCATCGATATGTTTCTGGTATAATTCTGGCTGAATATGTGACCCCTCTTCTTGGCAGTTCATTTAAACTCATACATTTCCTGGCATGGACCTTGGGTTTTAGGCCATTCCAGAAGTTTCCTGTTAGCCTGCTTTAGTTATTCAGAAATCCACCCTAATGTGTTTGGCAACATTGTCCTGTTGAAACACTCAACTGTGTTTAAGATCTCATCTGACTTACTGTAAGTCTTGATTTGAGCTGAAGTTTGGTTGTAGAACACCTTCTTAAYTCCATCCACTTTGTGCAATGAACCAGTACCTCAATATGATGCTACCACTTGRGAATTTATACATTACTATTTGCTTTGAAAACTCCTCCTACTCCTTAATTAATTCATATGCCATATATCCATCATGCCCGTTATGGGTCTAGGGCACTGTATTTCTGTATTTACATTTCTACGTATGATCAAAAAAAGCTKTTTTAAATGTGCTTTATAAGTAAGCTTAACCTGACCTAACTATCAACAGAAGAACAAGACAATTTGCTGTTAGTTTAATAAAACCAAAAGAGAACTGGTAGCTAGACAAACCAAACACAACACAGATCCAATTAGCCTGTAATTCAACAGGTACAATTTGGAGTGTAGGTAGTACCTTCTCCACCAAGCCAGGAGGGTTCTAGCAGTTCCATCATGTATTCCACTTCTATCAGGATGTGAGGCCTGTTACATTCCACTAACACATAAGATAATGATGGAAGGAAGTCATCCCAGCTAACTTCTTGTCCTGAAAAACAAGAACAAACAGTGAAAGAGGTTATCATTGTTCTCTTAGTTAAATGGCTGATATGCTGTATTTCATTCAAATGTATAAAATACCAAAGTTCCAACTAAAACTTGAACAATACACTTTAACCCTGGTCCTCAATGTGTCAATTGGTTCAAAGTGCCTTATCATAAACCTTTTGAACATGTAGCAGTCTCACCATGTAACGTCCCCATCGCCTTGTGGACCAACTTGCATACTTGTAACAGCAGGAGCACTTTGTCGATGGGTGAATGTGTTCTCTGCATCAGAATCAGCTTCTGCTTCACCCGCTCCACTCCCCGGCTATCAGGGACCCCTGTCTGTACGCCGAGGCGCTCCATGGTTGACTCCCCCTTCAGACGGAGGATGTTCTGCGTGAGGCGCTGAGTGGAGCCATYCTGACTGTGCAAAGCCATCAGGGCTTTTTCAAGGCGGCCCCTCAGAGGCCTGAGAATGCAGGAGAACATGGCCCGCTCCAGYGCCAGGTCTGCAGGAGAGAAGGGGGAACTTAGACCGATACACAGCTGAAGAACTACACTCACTGACAAAACGTTTAGTACTAAAGCAGGAGTAGCAGAAGTGAAATGGCCCGGCCCTGGGTACAAATGGAAATTCTGTGTGGAATGAAGTCATGCAGCTGTTTCTTCTTCTTCTGCAGCAAGTTAGCTCATAATTGTTGGAATTGGTCCTTGAAATCAAGCAGGTTGGTACTYGGTCAGAACTGATTCAACATATTAAAAAAATTGTATAGGTCTTCTGGACGGGTTCTTCTCTAATGAAACGTTTCGTCTCTTCTCCAAGAGACTTCTTCAGTCAAACAGACCGAAGAAGTCTCTTGGAGGAGAGACGAAACGTTTCATTAGAGAAGAACCCGTCCAGAAGACCTATACAATTTTTTTCTTTTTGTTTTTCTTTACTAACATGTTTTACATGTGATGACCACATGTGGTTAATGCTGTGTGACTTTGAACAGAGCTGTAGAA